AGATCTCCTCCAACATTTCTAGGATGTCCATGATAATCAACAGTCTCTACTATTACAGACGCTTGTAACCTAACTATAGCAGGATCTTTCAACCTGGCTCTGCACAGACCTATTAAAAAAAAACATGTAGTTGATTTAAATAATATTCTTTCTTTATGATCTAGTATAAAAAATATAAATCAACGCTTGCATAACGATTAATAACAATTTTGAAGCAGGTACTTTACTGTATTATCAATCCTCAGGATACCTGGCAATGTTGTACTAGAACGTACTCTTCCCAAGTTATTAAGAGCATCCTCTAATTGAGAAAGCGCATTATTATGGTTAAATTCAAAAGTAATAAAGGCATTTTCTTTAGGTTCACTAAGTGCTGATGCTGCATCAAGTTGGTCAGATAAACTACCAATTCTTTGTGTAATATTTCGTACTTCAACCTTTAAAAAAATTGAACATATTTAACGCTATGCCTATATACAATTTTCATTAAAATCGTGTTAACGATAATTCCATACTTGGTACTGTAAACCTTCGCATTCTCGTTGCACTTTATTTTTCTCAGCTTCTATGAGAGCATGCTGTTCTTCTAAGACATGTTTTTTGTCCCTTGCGGCGGCAGTAACAGCTGCTTGCAATTCTGAACGTCTCCTTTCAAATTTTGCAATAATTTCTGCAAATTCATTATCAACAGCATTCAGACACCTTTGAGTAGAAGCATCCAACCGTTGTAATTCTGTACTTACAGAATCTTGGGCCTGTGTTAACTGAAATCAATAATTTAATTTTAAATATAACTTTATTAAATATTCTAGTAATTTATTTCCTAATCAAAATAACAAATTTTTACCTTGGATATACATTCATTAGCTTTATATAATAAAATTTCAGACATCCTTTTTATTGCAATGCTGAAAGGTATGATAGTATGTTCAGTACATCCTGGAGATGTTCCTGCATGATTTCCACCTGTACAGGCTGTACAAAACACTGTATCACATGTTTCACAAAATAATAATTCCTGATTTATGTGAACTGAACATTTTGGAATAACCTGCAATGATAATGAGAGTTTTACATGGACATAATAATACATATATCAGAAGTATGTAGAAAGTATTGTTTCAAACCTCTCGTCTTTGCCTAGACATGAGATCAAGAAGTTGGTTCACAAGGAAACTGGGTGGCAGAGCAGGAACTCCACCACCAGGAATAGTTATTAACTCTCTGCAAATGGGGCATCGAAAGGCACCTGTCTCGCGAGTCTGAGATGCAGCAATTCTTGTTAAGCAATGTAAACATACCTATAAACATAAATATATATGCATGGAAAAAAAACATTCCTACATTACAAATAATTATTATAATACTTACTGTGTGTGAACATGGTAATAATTTAGGGGTATGCTCTCCACCATCATAAACACAGAGACAAGTACCACATGTTAAAAAACTTTCATTAAAATCTTCATAGTTTATACTAACTGTCTCCACGAGCATAGAGCTCATGCTGACTATCCTCTCCCCTAGCCGTGTCCTGGAGCAATTTAAAAATAAACTCTTCAAATTTATAGTCATGTATTGTGCAGTCTAAAATAATCATTCAACTATTTTATACAAAAATGTAATAAGTACGAACTAAATATGAGATTTCTACTTTTTATTTAACAATAAATTGATTAAAACATTATTTTTTCTAGATCTAACGTTGAACAATGTAGGGATAAATTAACAATGAAATAATACAGTCCATAAAATAGCTCCATTATTATTTGATTGTTATGTTAGCATTGTACTGTTTTTATTTTTTTTGTAAATCAGTGAAAATAAATATATATTGTATGTGTATAATGTGTTCGAAAACATTATCGATCGCAGAAAGCGAAGTAAACGCATTTTGATTTTCGCGGTTGTTCTAAACAGTGGCGCGTTATACTTTTATGGAGCCCAAGGTAAAATGCAAAAGGGAAGGGGGCCCACTTTAAAATAAAATAAAAAAAAAAAACAATTTTTTTCTTACTAAATCTTTTATATTCATTAACCCTTTGACTGCGATCGCGATATCGTTATTTTGTAACTTGTCGAACAATCGACGCAAACTCAAACCGAAATTAACCGATCGAACCTAATTTATAAACAATGTAAAAAATGTGTATGTAACAATACAAACGTATTGCATACATATATTTCAACAGTTTTAATTCAATATTTATTTATCTCAAATTTCCTAACTAAAGAAATATATTTTTACGAGGTTTTTTGGAACATTTTTGTTTGAGCCTTGCAGACGTCTTGTTTGCCGACAGAATTTGGTGCAGAGACACTAGCACCAAAAATGCCTCACAGAATGATACATATTTTAACAATAGGAAATCTATAACAGCATTTATGAAATAAACTCACTGTATAGCGAAACGCAGTGCCTCCATAATGGAGTTAACCCTGTCGTTGTTTTGAGAAATGTATACATCCGTTACATTGCACACGTTTTAGCGGGATATCTGCATAAGCTTGGAATACACCTCGCTTCTTTAACATGAATTTTCATCACGAAATAAACTGGTCAACACGAACAGGTTTGTCGAATAACATTCATCTAATCGACGGTTTTTTAATTCTACTATGCCAAATTAGTAAACGTAAACACCAAAATATATAATAATATAACAATGAAAACACTGAATTCCTAAGCGTTACAGGAACAAGGAACTTTCTACGAGTAACTCTTTCTTTTTTTTTTTTACGTTCACGGTATTTTCATACGAAATTACTCGACGTACTCTTTGTTCTTAAATTAACAACAGTTAGTCCGTACCAAGTAAAAACTAGAAACGCGTGAAATGGTAAATTCGTAAACGCGGCACTTCTCTCTCACAATTTCGCTGTGTATAGGAGCCCACTAAACACAAAGCATATGCCGACGGGAACTCTTTGTCTATCTTTCTTTCTTGATACCGATTGTCCTCGACACGGAAACGACTCTTAGAACGAATCTGAGTATTTCGAACGACTTACGGGAGCCAAATCTTGTGTCATGTTAGTAATCGAATACAAAAAAAAGAAAAGGAAACAAACGTATCAATTGTTTAAGATTCTATCCGTTTCACTTTCGTTACTGTTTTCGCGTATCCTGGATGTCATTTCGGACGTTCTCCCGTATTTTGAGTGTCATTACCACTCGCGATTTATTTTTCGTGCTTCGTATTTGTCCAGCCACTCGGTACGATAGTAATGACACCGTCGAAATTCGTCGCGTCTCTGTCGCATTTTTCCAAACAAAACACAGCCACGGATCACGACAAACCGCATCAGCTGCGGAGCGCAGCGACTCACGTTTTACAGCTGCGCACGTTCTCGCCTGCATCCGCAGCCGGCACCACTACCAGGGACGAAATGATAGGTATACTATGCGGGTGACCGTGGCTACGATTCATCGGGATTCATTCCTTTCTTCGTCTCGTTTAACAGGGATGAACGCGTTCGAATTATTTTTAAAATTGCGCGTACCTACGAGATGCTAATTATTCATATTCGGTGCTTGGAACAAACCACGTACAACAATGATATTAGGTTGTCCGAAAGTTTCTTTCGGGAGTTGCACTCAATTATTTTATGTAGTCGTGTTTATATAAATAGACAATCTAATTTCATAGATATTCATGTTGTAACAGTAATGGATAAAACATAAACTATTGTGCATGTATTACTTATTAATAAAGCGAAAGAAACTTTTGGGACAATCTAATACATCGTATTCTACTATGATCGAATATTGACATTTGCACTTTGTATTCATTCACTTCTATGACTTGTATTGTCGAGTATCGAATGTAAATCTATGAATACACGAACTTGCTATGAATAAATAAGTAAATTTATGAATGTGTACAAAATTGGTATGAAATATATAAACTTGTGAGTTTTGTAAATATAAATGAATACACAAACAAACCTGTAAATTTTCAAATAAACGTATTTTATATAAAGAACACTCGTGACCCCGGTAATTATTACGTTAAGATTAGAATGTAATCCTTAGATTAGAATGTAAATATCGAATTCGCATAATATATTCTATGCTTAGTCAGCTATTGAATATAACATGCTAATATATTCTGTATTCTCTGACCAGGCAATTACACGACATCGATGCCTTCCGTATTAGACGACGAAGTCGAATAAAAGTATTCTGTTATTGTACATCAACTGAATACGTAGTATCTAATGTGATTCATCGCTCGAATACTTTTTCAAATAAATTCTGTTCGTCCCTGGTTGCACGCATTTCCGCGAAACTAAGTAGTCTCAATCGATGCATTTCAGTCTTATTACATTGTTTATAAATTACAAGTTCGAATATCCCTCATTTGTCCCTCTACCGTGAGATGACACGGTGTTTACAATTTGGCCGAATCGATAAGCACGTTTTTGCGGGAGTATCGCGAATAGATAACGCTGTCAAACACGTCATATTCAGCGTGTCAGCTCTCGTTGCGTTATGATTTACGTACATAAAATAACAAAATAGAATCATTTGTTGATGAAAGAATGGGGTCACCGCGAAAATGATAATACACGAGACGCAGTTCTACGTGAACTTTCGTAGTTCTTTGTATGCATTGTCTTATTAGTAAAAAATAAAAATAAAATGCGTACGTTATGACTGACAAACATTGGCAACGTTCATGAAGAGACTACCATTCGTATCACTGCTTCTAGTCGAAGAACTAGCAGCCTTCTTCTCTTCAATCGAATGGTTTGTTAAAAGAGGTTATGGTGTTTTGGGTGTTTGTTTACACGGGTGCAGGATGTGCAACAGTTCCGGGGCAGCGGCGAGTAATACGTCCCTGAGTATTGGCGCACCGTCAAGCGTTTACCACGAGAGCGAGAGGAGACGTATAGGAGAAAGCGACGATAAAGAAAGAGAGATACACGGGTTTGCCGAAGGGTAAGGAAACGCACAGCACCAACGGTGGTACAAAGACGGAGAAATGCCTGGTATGCTTGCGCGAGGTACACGGCCATATAGACGCTTGAATTGTCTACTGCGCAGTCGCCCGTTAAAAGGTGTAGCGGTCGTTGTGTGTGCTTTGCTTACTTCCATGCACTTGCTACAACCGGCCCCTCGGACAGCTGTATATTTTCTATAGCCCACGAATTTCATGTTTTCGTCAACCCCCTCTCATCTATATGCAACACCTTACGCTACGCAGAACCTGTTCATTCGCTCAGCATTCGGTTTTCCGTTATATCGATAATTTTTCAGTATAAATTTAGCGTCCCGTTACGAAAGCCATAGCTATTTTAGCGCGCATAAGTTAAGTTAAGTTTGTATATTTTATCTTTTACACAACGTTCGTTTGTTTCCCGCATCAGTTTTCACAGCATGCCTGGCTACAGAAGCCGTGACATTGAACAGAAAGTAAGAAAACTGTATTTGGACAAGGTCTATGGTAAATTAAAAGCGTGAGTAAAGCTAAGGACGAACGTACATTTTTATCGCCATTTTTATCAACCCCTAAAATGCGAGTCACGTACCGTCGTGTAAATTGTGTAGACGATGCATGTGTACGTGTGTCCGTGTATCTTTTCGAAAAGCTTGTCACATACTCACATGAATGGACAGCAGTTCATGAAGCTTCCTTTGATAAATTCAGATGGTAACTTATTTTTGCACAGGGAACGTATTGGCGCAATATATTATTTATGGCGTCACAAGGATTTTACACAGGCGTGATATGCACACTAACAAACCACCATGATGGCACGTTTCGAGCGCCCGATCTACGATATCGCAGGACTGTTTACAAGTTTAAGTATCTTTCAACAAACTATGTATGATTTTTTGCCACGATGGCATAACAAAACACGTGTATTCCTTCTAGTTGTGTCAACACCACATCGCATCCTCGCGAGGAAAGTGACACTGGTTAGATAATTTCAACTTTGTATCAGATAAAAAGAAATAACAATGGGTACTATTTCAGTACTCGATTGGGTACTATTTTAGCCAAAACAACTACATACGTATAATTCTTCTGACTATTATATTACCCATCACTTTGATTATTCAGAAAAAATTAATATAGGATTCACTTTCCCAGTTGACGATTAAATAAATGTCTTGTACGACTATGTAATGCGATAATTGAAAATGTATCGCTTTTCATGCGAGGGTGCGATACAACGGGGCATAGAGGTGACGCACGTAAACAGACGTGCTTTCAGGTTTTATTCAACGACCGTTGTCGCACTTCGCGAATGTAAACAATAGATTGGACGGGTACTAACGTATCCCCGATACACGCCATGAAGCAAAATCGTATCAGTGTCGCATCACACCCACAGACATATCGAGTGTACGGTCTGTTTATCAGTGCATTAACCCTTGTCAATTTTACGTTCGATAAATATCGCGTTTTCGGTTGCTGTTCGTCTCACGCGAATTTTTACTCGATCGTAACAAAGTTTCACGCTTGATTTTCGTGTTATTCCCGTAAACAGTTTCCACATAAAACGATTCAGGACGACCGATTATGTTTCTATAAGGAAATTCGTAAACAATGAAGAGTCGAGTCTTCGCTGTTTCTTGCACTTCACGCACAAAAGTTTTGCCACTCTTAATACAATCCCCCGTGTACAGTTTCCATCGCGCTCGTATTTCTCCCGTGTAAGCTGCTAGAGTGACACTGTAGAACGACGTGAGACAAGGATGGCGATATCGATTTCAGACGATGTACGTTAAGCTCCAGCAGGTGGCACGGCCACCAAAGTCCTCGTCTTTAAAGCCACGGTGTTTTTATCGAAAAAATTACACGAGCTAAGCCGCCGTGGCGAGGAATTTGCAGAGACACGGGAAACAGGGGATGAAAACACACCCTCGAAACTGTCCTTGCTACGAGCGCGCACGCGCTGACCGATTTAGGTCATGTGTTACTTGACAGACGAACGCTAGGTTACATTGCAGGGTTTTCCTTGATAAATTACGCGAAAATCGAAAATTGTTCACTTAACGATTTTTTTTAGAGAAGACGTTAAATCGATATAGGTCTTATTTCGAGGTCTAATGCGACTCGAGTGCTGCCAGTGGGTCGTGAAATAGACTAGGTTTTCTAACGTTGACGAGGTCGGGGTAGCTACGCGGATCCTTGGCCCCGATGTTGGCAATCTTTGAATAAGTGGTACCAGTAGTGTAGCCAGAAGGGTTTGCATAGGTGTCGATAGCTTTTTAAGATTTGTATCGCAAGAAACGAGTGTTATCTCGATTGATACAATTTTTTGACAATAAATTTTATAATTTTATATTTCATTTTGGAACTCTCGTGTCCATCTTCATGATTTCCATGTAATCCTTTCAAATTTTTATCACAGGACACGTTATCGTGCCCAGCATCCTTCCCACTCCCAAAACGATTTTCGATGCATGCGATTGCGAGCATGCGCAATTAAATTCAGGCCATTCCAAGCACTTGACCGAATTTGCGAAGATTTCTTGCTTCTGGCTGATTTTACAAGGGTACGTATTTTAACACGTTCACTGCCAGACTAATACTCTTGAAAACTTCTACTGTGATTAAACTTTGTTTACAGACTATTGGAAACTGCGTAATGAAACATTTATTGTGGTATTTAGTTTTGTAACTTCATCAAAGTTCAAGTATTTCATTTAAATTCATTTTCTGTGACAGTTAACTTTCAGAATTAATATTCGTAGTTTTTCAGTGAAAAGCATTGTCACCCATATATGGGTGACGTCAGTGACGCGACGATCAACGTGTTAAGCGAGATTCAATAAATATTGTAACGTTAAAATGATTCTTCTAAGATGATTTAAATATGTATAATATAACAAGAATATCTCTTTTATACAGAAACTCGTGGACACTAAATTTTAATTTTACGATTATTGTAATTCTAACGCGCGCAACGTGTGCATACTTGTTATACCCAATTACAGTCATGTTCATAACGCAGACTTGTTTTTTTCGCGGGTTAATATTACGCGCCACCTAAATTTTCTATCTAATTCTACGCATTAGATACGTGTGACATTAATTTGTGCATACGAGAAGTGAAATTAGTGTCACCTTAAAGCACATTTGCATAAGCGTAGGATGCTCTGTTGCGCGTGGAACTAAACATACATCACGGGTGGAACGTTAATACGTACGTCAAGTTTGAAAATTAAGAAGCGTTAAATCGTTTTGCTAAAAAAAGTTTCGTTTTTTGCAAACTGACGCTTCGCGAACGGAACAACGCGATTTGGTATTGGATTCGAGCACGTTTGTTTAGTCTTTCGTCGAGTTTATGGATCCACTTTAACGACCGTTTTCTCGTCATTTCTTATTTTAACTATCGGCCAGTAAACAACACGAGGGAGCGTAATTAACATTTTTCGTTAGCTAATTAATGTACTATGATATAAATCATGCGAATAATTTTATTTCGAGAAGTTTGTGTCCAGTCGTTATTAAAGTTGAAAATCAAGTTGCGAATTACGCTTGAAGTAGGTATTTTAGCCTAACGACTATCGTCTTCAGTGTGCTTCTTTATCCAATCGACGTAGCTGTAGACACGAGTGAAGACATCTGGACGACCTCTTGCACACGGGATTCCCCAAGATACCACTCCGATTTGTACCTTGTCGGCCACTAGAGGACCACCGGAATCTCCCTTTTGAAAAATTCATAAATTAATAAAATATCTACCTGCTCTGTCTCTTGAAGAGGCCTTGAAATGTCCAGCTTGTGCAATGCATTAAGGGGGTATTATCGTCTAGAAGTTTGTTTTTTCAGTAATTTTTAGGAATTAATTTTGCGAAAACTATCAAACGTTTTGAGAAAAACGTACGTCCGACTTGAAAAATGTCGTTTCGAGAAAAACGCGTTTAAAGATTGCTATACATTTAGCACTAATACTGGTCAACTATGAGAGCTCTACGAATTTCGAATTAATATTTTAGAGGTACTTTCTCAAAATCCCAAATGATAAGAAAATGCAAAAGAAAAAAAATCGAATTTTTCATGTTTCTAGACGATAATACTCCCTGAATCTCGAAACTCGATAAAACTGACGGGTAAAAGATCGCCTGGTCCCCTTGTTAGAGTAACTCTTTCGAACTAGGTGAGCGAAACTTAACAATGCTCACTGTTACGCACTTGTCGACACGGTTCTCGACGGATTGCAAATAAGAAAAAAAGTGTGCTGCTTTAGTTGAGGGATCCTTTGACGCAAAAGGGCCCTCTTCTCGAGTGCTCGACTAGTCGTGAATGCACTTACGTGACAAGCGCCTTCGCCCCTCTTGTTGAGTGTGCAGATATTGTCGTTGGTGACACGAAAGCTGGCGTTTAAACATTGTTTTTGATCGATCACGCTCAGCTCAATGTGCTGCAATTCGTTCGGTGCCTCTCCGGGATACTTAACGTCATTCGTGCGCGATTAGGGGATCGGTCGACGACGGGGATGCATATGGAATAAAGAAAACAATGATGAACTTCAATGAAAGACTCGAATTCAAAGACGAACAAAAGTTCAGCGAGTTAGCAATTGTTCAGGATTTTAAGATTACGTAATGCACTTACTAAGAGGGACTTACCTGTCTAGAGGTGAAGAATAATATGTAATTCAAGAAAGAAAAATCTATATGTACAGTGGGTGTAGAATGTTTTACATATTCACGGAAGTCTCTAAGATAGATATAGTCCAAACAAACATTTACTAGTTAATATAATTTGTGAAATTGACAGAAAGATGCGAAAAGTGGGTGGAAGTATAGAAGCAATAATTATTTGGACGATTCTTATGACGAACCATTTACAGCAGAGTTTGTAACGTAAACACATTAGTTTTTTGCTCCGTGCGAATTAGAAAACATAAAATTTCCAGTAAAGCACTTTTAAACGTTTAAGCATTTTTAAAGTTTTTTTCTTATTAATTTCGCAACTTACATAAATAACTATTTTTTTTTTGTAATCAATCTATTTTAGACATTTCCGAGAATATGTAGAATGTCATTGTTTATAAAAAGTAAGTTAATAAATTACAATTTTACACATTTTTTTTGGAAATTGATCGGTGTACGAATACTTTCTACACCCACTGTATATAAAATTTAAAAATGATAGATTCGATACTTCATGTATAAAATTGCGCTTTCTAGATCAGGCAACCCCCTTTTAAGATAAACATTTAACTAAATTAAAACTGAATGGTAATTAAATGAAAATGAATTGCAAACGTTTGCTGAATGGCAACTCGCGAGAGATGATACATACGCTGGTGGTACCCCAACCGGACAACTCGGCTGGGTAATCAATTTTACTGAAATTTTCGTTGGGTAAAGACACGGGCTTCACTTTATCCCCGAAAACGATATCCTTGTTCACTTTAATCAATCCGATGTCGTTCCTGATCAGCAGAGAACTGTATCTCGGGTGACCAAACACTCTTTCAGATTGATATTCGTCGCCACCTTTGTCCAAGGTGTTCGTACCCAACACCACGGTTATCCCAGAATCGTTGAAGCTAAAATAATCAATTGAAATTTTATTAATTAATATATCGAACAGGTCAGTGGTGATAATCGAGGCCTACCGTATTTTATTTTAAGTAGAAATTTTATTAAAACGAACCTCGATACGCAGTGAGCGGCTGTCAATATCCACCTCTTGTTTAATACTGATCCTCCGCAGAAATGTCGTCCCTTATAGCGAAGGGAAGCTTGATACGGGAACTGTCCATCCTTAGCGGCAGAACCGCCCACGATTTTTGGAATTTCATTTATACTCGCCGCTGTGTTTAGAGGTTCCAATTTATATTAACATAGAGTTGAATAACAAGTATCGTTTACTAATAAAACAAAAAATAAGTTTCGAGTATAACGTAGACTTGGTTTTGCTATGTTTTAAATAAAATAACATCAAATTATAACTTTAAACCTCTTCTAAATTATTTTTGATGATTCAGACTATCGTGTTGTTTAAATAACGCGTCTCCTTACCGGATGCTTCGAACAGCGTGACCGTGGTCAGAATACAGACAAGCAAGAACATTTTAAATCGTTTGCTTTTTCCTTTGGTGGTGACGACGAGTTAAATACCAATCTGAGATTCCCCTAAGCTTTCGAAGGGTATTTATACCAAGTTCGTTCTTAATGTCCATGGGAATTAAATATACACCTGGCGACTATTTAAATTTAGGTCAGATATTTACCTACGAAAAAGCTTATTCCGATGTATCTCACGTTCGCTACGATAGAAACTGACAATAAGAAGAACTGAGGTCAAACAGGTGCCCTTATCGTTTAAGAGGAAAAACATCGTGTATTCATGTCCCGACCGTACAATGTTAATTACTGGAGAATGGTATTCCTTGTTACAAATTATTTCTTATGTATGCTTCGATCAAGCACGACTTTTAATAACGATTCTAATTATTGCTTGATGCCATTATTGCCTTTGTCTTCAGTTCAAGTCTTACAAAGTCACTATTCTAAATAACAATGAAACTTTGGACTCGATACAATTTGCTCGATACCCTTTTCTAAGTTTCTTATCAGATAAACGATGCGTGTTTCGATTTAAAAAATTACCAGTCGATTATTGGATTCGTCCGATTTGCGTCTTTTCGTCGATCAATGATTCAAAGAAGATTATTCGGGACCTTTATTAAACGAGGGCGCAGGACAATTTAAAAAGGCACAAAGCTGCACAATTTATTCCATTATGACATGACTCACCCTGATTATGTCCCATTCAGAGACGGTGGCTGGGTGATTGGCCTCATTCAAATTGTATAGTAGTGGTAAGGGTCTAATTCTGGCGTCATACTTGAACGCACTGTGCTTTCTGATATTGCTCTTAAATATCACCGTGAAGACTCGGATAAAGGACACTCCGCGATACCCATTATGGCGAGCACAAAGAAGAACGAATTCCTTTGACAAATTAATAGAAAATACGGATGCAATCTCTGCAATGTCAAACACAATTCATTAATCGATTAATCTGTTACTGCGTGCTTCCATCAATAACGAATGGGGCAAATTTTCTTTAACCATAGAAAAAAAATTTAATTATGAAAGAATAAGAAAAATAAATAAAACGCCTATGAGATCACTTAAACTGCATACAAAGTTTCAAAGCACAAATACATGAAAAAAAAAAAAATAATAAAAACACTTTTAAAGTATATCGGCGAAATAGTAGTTTAATTCAGCTCTAAGGGGTACTTGTAAGAGGTACGTCTAACGTTGAAGTTTGAGAAACGCTGTATTAAACAATGGTCGAAGGACAATGATTCGATATACAACGAGACAAGAAAGAAACACACGGTGTGTACAACTTGAACTTTCTTTATTTAAATGAATCAGAGGCAATATGAACCGTCGATGGAACGCTGCTTGTACAATGTCAAACTCAAATGTAGTCATACGTTTTTTTTTCTCTCGCCGTTGACTGTCTTCGGAACAATATCAACACAATTATCTCCGAAGGAGTGCGAACTTACTGCGTGTGATTCTAATTAATCAGAACTTAAACGATGACAAGCGCACGGGTTTCGCAACCGCTCATATTCCCTGTGGCGTGTACGTATAAAATATTCATGTTCTCACAACCAGAAGTTAATAGTCAGAATATCAGTACCGCTTCGCCCGTGCATACAGTAAATAAATAAAACATAGAAAAAAATAAGAGAGAGAGAGGGGGGGGGGAGAGTGAAAGAGAGAGAAAAAAAACTCGCACGTAACTAATCTCTATGCGCCTTTGCTTTTCGGTCATCAACTAACGCTATATATATATATAAATTTTCCGTACCCTTATATAAGTATTTTTTTTTTTTTTAGTCGTTTACAAAAGCTACTGTTTCAGTATCACTTGCCGCTGGCCACGCTCTAACGCATGTACGTTTTAAGTAACCGTGTGAAAGTAAACGCGCGCTCATGTTTTATGTACGTGTAATTCATGTTATTGTGTGTGATATAATAATTTCGAAATCGCGTGGATCGTTGGCTTACACTTTTTATCTTTATATGTATCTGTGTTTATGTATGTGTGTTATGTATGCTTAACGTATATATTATAATTATTCACCTTGTACCATATCGAACCGATAAAACTTTATGATTGTCTAATAGTCTGAATAACTATATAATATATATAAATTATGTTTTACAATTCGAATAGAGCTCCTTACCAGTAGTACGGTAGGGGGCGACCGAGTATTTCCGTGTGGTGTATTCTTCGCAAACACCCGTTACATATATATATATATAGCATAACATCGATAGTACTAAAAATATAAACATTTCTGTCGTAACGTTAAATCATACAATTATAGTTTAGTCACTAGAGAATACGTACAAAATCAAATGCCAGCACCCCATTTAAGACGAGACGGACTTATTTCGAAAATGCGTGAATCTACGCGTATGCTACGACAATTTATTTTTTTTTTTATGTCACTCGAACAACACAAATGAAAATACTTCTGCTATTGCAAATACTCTTCAAGAAGAATGAATTGAATGCGTGAAAATGCTTAACTTACGATAAAAAGGATATCTTATTTAATTGAACACTGAAAAATCGTCTACGAAATGCAATAATAGAACACTCCGGATCATATGCAACATGTACATACATATAACGCGTTTGTGAAAGGTGACAATGAAACTTACTTTATAACTTTTGTCATTGATTGATGAACGATTCTACTTAAACAAGAATACTATTTGTTAACAGCCAGTTTACACTATTCATCTTTTCCTTCGAGGTTTATAAAACATTTAAGAACGTTCAAAATACTTTCATGAATAATGCATATATTTTTTTTAAATGCAAGTTCACTTCGAATATCCGTCTACTTCAATCGACAATGCTCAGATTAGTCAAGATAAATAAATAAGAATATGTAATTATTGTTTTATATATCCATACTAATTTATTCATAGACTTTTTCTTGCATTTAATAAGGTGATTCAAGATTTATGCGACAGAGTCACTTTGTATTAACATTCGTTTGTTGTAAATGCTATAGAAAATATATGTATATAGAAGTTTAATACCCAAAAATTGAAAATTAATTTAAGACATCGATAACTTAAAGTCATAATATCACATGGTGCTGCCATCCAATATTGTAGCTGCAGAAATGTGTACAGAAAGATGGCTATGTTACGTTCTAGGCCACAGAACTCCGTCACTTATTGGCTATGAAATATTTAAGTATATTATTCGGTTTTGGTTTACTAGTCGTCGGCCATGAACGTGTGACTTCTCTTTGTATGTCAATGGGTAAAGATTTGAGAACCGCTGCATCGATTTTTGGAGACAATTGCATAGGTGACGAAGGACTGAGTCTAAGATCCGCCATTTCGTTACTTGGAGATTCTCTGCGCCCGCTCAACCATACTTCCAATCTGGTCTTTTTTGGTAAAGGTTCTATCTCGTTCAGTAGGTCGTCTTCTGAACACTGATTGTTGCCACATAGTGATTTTGAAATTGGGGACGAAGTGGTGCTCATTGCTGAACCATCGTTACTATCTTGATTTATACTCATCGGTGATCCAAGACTGACGTCAGATATACCTTCTTCCGAACTTATGTCCAAGACAGATTGAACGGCAACTTGCTTTCGCAAAAACGATGTTATGCTATTTCTTCCGGATGATCTTTCCTCGAACTTTGTGAAAGCAACCCCTAATAGAGTTAAGTGGAATGGTTTAGAGACGTCGACGGTACGATGGAAAAGTTTCATAGCCAGTGCTAGCATTTTAGCATGATCGTAAACGCCAGATTTTGTAGAAGGCAATAGGTGCTTTGGTAGAGCGCATTGCCGAGTTTCTCTTTTACCTGACGTTGGTTTATTAAAGTCGTGCTTTCTGACCGTTATTCTCATAGCAATGGGAATTCTTCCATCCTCCATAGCTAGTTCAGTCAATCTCCTTAGAAGCGCTCGAAGTCGCGATTCTACTTCGGCTACTAAAGAAACGCTTTTGAAACCATCTTCTAAACCTATAGATTGCTGTTTTCCCGTCGGTTTCACAGCAGTTTCATCTATACCTTCTGCATTATCTTTCAATTTTCTTGCCAAATCAACTCCGAGTTTCATTTCCAAGTTCTCTAAAGACGTTTTACGCAAATCGTTTACTGTCTTTATGTTATTGGACGCTAATATTTGTGTGGTTTTTTGCCCGACACCGGGTATTTTAGACACAGATCCTATCGTAGATAACAACAGTGGTCCACTGCATGGGAATATTAGTGTCTGTTGGTTTGGTTTATGCAACGACCCAACAAGTTTTGCTAGAAGCTTATTGTGCGCTATTCCAGCACTGCACGTGACACGTAACTCTTTATAAATCCGTTTTCTTATTTCTGCTGCAATTTTGGAAGCTATAATTAATCGAGTATGGCAACCACATGGACATTCTTCTTCAGACAGACCAAATACTTCGCCAACTGGATTTTCATCTTCGATAGAAATACTTATATTTAGTTCAGAATCGTTTCCAGAATCCATACATTTTTGCACGATAGATGTGACATCCATAAAGTTATCGTCGAAACCTAACCGTTCGACTAAGGGAGTAAACTGATGCAATACCTCCAGGATCTTGGCAGAAAAATGACGATAGTTTGTCAAATCTTCCCCATTTACCAGAGCCAGCCCTGGACATAACTGTAAAGCTTCTTGAACAGACATACATTTCTTAATTCCATATTCCCTTGCCAAGTAGTTGCTCGTTACTACTATATTTTTTTGTTGTACTCCTAATGGTTTGCCTTCTAGCTCTGGATGCCTCAGCATCTCCACTTGAGCATAAAAACAGTCAACATCTATGTGAATTATAGTTCTCGGATGTCGTATAATTGTATCAAAATCAATGGAATCCATTGATGTCAGCTTATAAATAATGTAGTACAGTATTATACATAGAATTTTTATTATATAAGGTTTCTTGTTTAATCTTTTAACATACTATAATCTGTAACAATAATAAGATACAATTAATAATACATTTAGAAATAGATTCAAATAATACATGAAACAAACACCTCTAACAATTAAAATGCTATTAAATTTAACAAGTATTGCTGCCTTTCTAGAACAGTGTAGTTAAAAATATGTTATTAAATATATCGTCTAATTTCATAATCAAGTATTATTTTTTTTCCGCTATTAATAGATTCTAACAAAGATTTGTATAAATCGTATATGTACAGTTATATACATGTTGATATGCTGAATTCATATATCGAGAAAATAGGTTAAGTTAAACACACAAAGCACACAAACAGTATGTTGATATATCCACTTACATATGGCTGTTTGTAATCATATAATTCATCGTAATTGTTATTTCAGGACAAAATAAGTTAACGAATACTTGTTAAACAACTTTTTTCTGTATCATTTACTCTAACTTTTCTCAGATTATAAAGTAAGGTTACCATTATTTAGTATTCATTCGGGAAGTATGTTGTCGCACAACCATGTAGAATGTTTGGACGCATATGTATTTTTATTGTTCAGAAATCCGTTAGGTCGTCGAATAGACATTAAAAATGTAGCAATTAATATTAAAAACACTAATGTTTCACTTGGAAAATCCGCGCCAACTCTTCATAACTTTCGTCGAAGCTATATGTTCTTTACGGCTGACGAGTTTCGCTGGTAACACGAAACAAAATTATCGTAAAAACTAAACAGAAACTTGTTTATAAATTGTAATGCGACTAATTTATTTTTCACATGGTAGCCATGTTTTTGAATTGTCATAGATATGTTCGTATATACATATTTATTATTGCACCCTAACATTTGGTGCAACTAAGCATTTATAGTTATTTTATGACTCAAGTATGCTTTATGACCAGAAGATAGCATATACGCAGGTAATGGTTGATTTTCATCGTATCCCCATGTAAAAACAGCCAATAGTATTTAAGATGGACTAGGGGAATAATTTTATATAATCTGATAATATCTAAAATGCATATTTTCCCTATATATGATCCAATCAGAATGTAAAACAGCTAGTGGAAATATAATATAGATACGGAAAAGATAAAATACTCAAAAGATGAACTCCTATAGAAAATGGCATAAGTTTTATATTATACATTCGTGTTTCCAATACACGACAGCATTTCGTTGTAACATATATAAATAAAACAGAAGATTCGTTGTAATATTTATACATTGCTTTCTATTTTCAAAAGTGAATGCTTCAGTGTTAAATTGCACGATATTCTCATAGTCTACCACGAGTGTATGTAAATAAGTGTACTTAGTTGTAAAAAAAATGTATATGGGTTGGACATTCGCAATCTAATAGATGAAACATGACCAGTAAGTGCATTTAAACATTTTCCTAATCGTGTAAATTTAATAAAAGTCCGAAAAGGTAAAGGCGATTTAATTCTATTAGGACTTTCATGTGAAACGTGAGTATTTAGTTTAATGCTCCGTTTTGAGACACATCAGATATCGGAAAAAATATTTCGATTTTGTTAATTTTGTCGAATTACACGAATTCAAGTCCGGCTACAAATCAAGTGTAGGCAGCCATCTTGGAAAATCCCTTTTCGCATTTCGAACGAACAAAGTGTCAAATATCGATAATTAATTTATCGTATGGGGTTGAAGTGAAAATTTTCACGAGAATTGAGTTTTGTAAGGAAACCCGGATTTTTCAGTGTGATCCCGAAAGTAGAACGTGAAAATCAATTTCGCGCCACTAATCAGTATTATTCAATAGCCAAGTTTAAAAACCAAGAAAAATATAGAGACGTGCTCCGATACAAAACAATTCGAATAAGACACGTGTAGGAGAATTTTTCTATTGAAAGTTGGAAATAATATAGGCAAAACGGCTTCGCAAAAAAAATCGTCTAGGAAGATGGCGGAGTCCAAAGAATTAGAGGTGAGTGAAGTATTAAAAGTAGTGCAGTGCAGTTTAATTACGTGTGAAATTTTATAGAAAAGTCGGCAGGTCTGCATTGTGAATTTGTCGTGGTTATATCCGGGTTATCAGTGATTTGAGATATGCGTCAGTGATTTGTATTACTAGACGCTTGATACACTCTCGTGCAAGTTTTAGGCCATTACTATTGTCAGTATTTAGCCTTTTATCAGTGAAATTTGAAGTTTAATTAACGACATTTTTTCGTTGGCTATATTGTATTTGCGATTATGTTCTCTGTGCCTGTGCCCTGTGCTAAGGTTGATAAATGGCGAAATTATCTTCATAATAGGATTGATAGGATTTATAGGTAACCTTAACATTTTCATCGTTTAAATGAAAAAATTCTTAAATGTTTTCCGTTGTTTATATATATTTTAAAAATATTTAATCATAAAGATATATAGTATCTTGCAAGTGTGTTGTATGCTAGTATTGATTGTAATAAAAATAACGTATATTGTGCCAATGTGTATCTGTCCTTTGACACAAAATAGATATTGACAAATGTATATTTTATGTTGCTTTTGTGCTTTAGAATAGAAAACTTGAAGTATGATTTTTATGCCTGGTATGTTATATTTTATTTTGTAATTCTGCAATTATATTTGCAAAAATCAGCATAGTGTAAAATTGTTTGCACAATTGGTTGAGTAAAACTGACAAATATTGGACTATTAATTTCTTTTTTTGATAAATCTTCTTTTTGGAAAACGATGCAGTTTTTAATTGTTAATTAACAATTTAATGATATTGCGTATGTAAGGATTTAAAATATAGAAATGTTGTCATTTTGTGATTGCAGAATATGGTATTGAGTTTTCGAGTGTCTGAACTTCAGATGCTTCTTGGTTTTGCTGGTAGAAATAAATCAGGTAGAAAAACCGAATTACAAACACGTGCACTAGAATTGTTACGTTTGAGATCTCATCCAGTACAGCTCAAAATACGTGAACTATATAAAAGCATACAGTGAGTATACTATTAATGTAAATGCAATTGTATATATCCAGAATTATATTGATTCTTATAACAATTGCTATTATTATTTCCCATGATATGGAATACTTTATTTCTTTCATTATTTTAATATAGAATCAAAAACAGTGTTTATTTCTTTATATGTACTAAGGCATATTATTATACTTTGAGTATTATAAATAGCAGCAGGTTCTAAACACAAAGCACTAGTTATACTATTTGTTGTAAAATTTTGTTTAGAGCTGATCAATTGGCTGCTCACCAAATGTACGGTCAAACAGGTGGTTCTGGAGAACCACAAATTGATCAAAACATGCATTCCAGAAATTATTATACAAGGTAATTGCATGAAATAACAAAATATTTCTCTCTAAAGGGTTCTTCTACTTGAAAACTTTACAATACACATTTCTTTTTTAATTTTTTACCTAACATTATTGACAATACCATTTTAAATTTTGTGCATTTATTTATACATATTTTAAGGAAAAGTATATTTTTATTCTACTATTTCTTTAATTTGAGTAACTTGGGAATTTTAATGTTTACAATGTTTCAAGAAAATAGAATGAATTTTTTACATTTTCAGTAGAAGACCTCCTTAATTGTAAAAATCAGTATTCATACTTAATTATGTTGGTTCTTATTTTTAATTAATATAAAGACAAGCTATCAGTCAGCAACAACAGTCACAGTCCTCAGTTTCCAGTGGAAAAGAGTTGCCACCAGCTCATCAAGCATCTTTACCTCAATCTCCTAGAGCTAATCCTGTATATCAGAACACAGGATATACTAGTGTAACACCACAAGTAAGTTTAAATCATTTCCTGTAGGATATTCATGAAGTATTATTTATTGATAATTCCCTTTTTTTAATATGCCTAATATGATTAACATTACAGCAGACAACAAGTGTAGGTTACAGTCCATATCCATATCCACCAAAAGTTTTACCATCTCCATTACAAATACAGCCTCGGAGTCAGTATCCTGTTCATCCAGATGTCAGACTTAAAAAACTTCCATTTTTCGATTTGTTGGGTGAATTGTTGAAACCGTCTAGTTTAATGCCCCAAGGCTCTCTAAGACTTCAAGAGAATACGTTTATGTTTCATTTAACACCACAACAGTCAACAGACATAGCCAGTTCGCGAGATTGTCGCGCTGGAAGTAAAATGGATTATACTGTACAGGTATGTGTTGTTAATTTGATCTTAAATCATTGTTAAGAATGTCTTTATTGTCCTATAAATGTTATAGGTGCAAATGAGATTTTGTTTACAAGAAACTTCATGTGAACAAGAAGATTGTTTTCCTCCTAGTATTGCAGTGAAAGTTAATGGAAAATTATGTCCCTTACCCGTAAGTAAATATATTTTATTGAAATGAATCGTTAATCTTCCATGTATTATATCAACTAAATTTCATTTATTTTTTTTACAGAATCCAATTCCTACAAACAAACCAGGGGTAGAGCCAAAGAGGCCTCCAAGGCCTGTCAACATTAGTCATTTAGTAAAGTTATCTCCTACCGTAGCAAATCAAATTCACGTCACATGGTCGGCCGACTATGGAAGGCGATATGCAATCGCCATATACCTAGTTAGAAAACTTTCTAGCGCTAAGTTACTGGCGAGATTAAAAAGTAAAGGTGTACGACATTCGGATTACACAAGAGGTTTAAGTAAGTAATCGAAACTTATCTTTCAAATTTATGGAAATGTTAAAGAAAAGTGTTATTGGAACGATTCCCTCCATAGTTAAGGAAAAGCTTAATGAAGATGCAGACAGTGAAATAGCGACTACGTCTCTTAGGGTGTCGTTAGCGTGTCCATTAGGGAAAATGCGAATGGCTACACCATGTCGTGCATCGACGTGTTCGCATTTGCAATGTTTTGACGCATCGCTGTTTCTACAAATGAACGAAAGAAAACCCACGTGGAATTGTCCAGTTTGTGATAAAGCGGCACTGTACGATACTCTGGTTATAGATGGATATTTTCAGGAAGTTTTAAATTCCAAAAAATTATTACCAGATGTAAATGAAATTCAGCTGTTGCAAGATGGATCATGGGAGAATTTGGTTTTGAAGAAAGAGAAAGATAAAGACAAAACTGAAACGAAAGTGATAACGAATACGCAGGATCGCAAAATCGATGTGGACACTGTAGACCTCGGTGAGATATTGTTTCATTGTATCAAATATAAGGCCAAAAATATAAAAAAACTTTTGTTTCTCCCGAAGAAAGAACATAATCTCAAAGGTTGATTACTTTATGTATAACATATTATTATGTATTTGTTTAGATGAAAGCAATCCTACACCTCCAAAGGAGAAGAAACGAGCCGTTGTCATTGATTTAATTTCAGATAGTGACGATGACTATGAAAATACCACACCTACGCAAAGTACAAAAAAATTGGCTAGTGGTACATCTTCACCAAAAAAATCACAAGCCAGCTCTATTAGTAGTACAAGTGAATCGCCGGAGTTAATGATAATTGATTTAGAATAACATGTTTTTTTATTATCTCTTTACTATAAAATTGCTAAATTTTGTATTATTATATGAGTCTTATAGAACTAAAACCAAATGAAGTTTATTAGTTCTTTAATTCACAAAAAAGAAAACTATTATTATAAGTATTAATATAAGCAAATTCATGATGTTTTTACTTTTGGTACTTAAAAACAGACAAAAAATGAAGAATAGAATTCGTTAATCATTTCAATAGAAAGCATTCCTTTGCATCATTAATACATGTACAGTCCATTTATCATTTCAGTTTGCAGAAGAAAAATAACAAGATCAGGTTAGGTGTAATGAATATTTTCATACAATTTTGTAGTATCATAACAAGACCATTGTGTAGTTTTATTTAATCGAATAAAGTAATTTTTTTTATTTTGTAGTATTGTCCACTTTCTTTGCGAATTATTTTTCTGGTTGTATTAGGAGTTATTAATATCATCAAATTTGAATACGTTTATTTATATTTCGTTGATTGGGAATAATAAAATCGCTTAAACTATGCTTATTGTGAATTTTGTTTCATACAAAAGTTGATACTATTTTAAGAAATAAAATTGGTTAAGTCGTTGCAAATAGGATATTAACAATATAAACACATTTGTGTCGCTGTTTTACATATGTAAATCACGCGTTTCGTGCATTTCAGAGTTTATTCTGCTGGCATAGTTCCAACTAGATTTGGATGCATGTAAATACCAGGTGATATTCCAGAGAGTTGTTGGTCCACAGGTTCTCTTGTGTCGTATAAACTTGGAGCTTGGAATATTATACCAAGTGTCCCACCAATACACGCGAACGTAAAAATCCAAAGAAAAAGTCTGTCCAAAACCATGGCTACAAATTTCCAATCTTCTATAACCTAGAAGTACAAGAAATTTTGTACATAATAAGTTTAAGTGCTATAAGAGTATTACTCTTAAAGTATTCATGTACTCGTCGAAATTATAAGTAAAAAAAAAAGAAAGTATCAAAAGTAAAACAAAATGAATATCAACAAAAATTCATACTGTTCTACTCACTTCATTATCTTTGTCTGCATTTTTAATATGTTGAGCAATGAAACGCACACCTTTCAGAGCTGATATGACATCTGGAGATAAGTGTCTCGGCATCGTATTTTCACTGTCAGTGACTATAATTATGTTTCATTGTTAGCACATATTTTACCAAACATTATGTCATGTCGTTTCATGATATAGATATAATTTGTCACCCCGAATGCAATTGCAAATTACAAAATTACTGTTAATTCTGATATTATATATCCTTTGTTCATCTCTATTATGGTCATGTAAAACACAACGCGCGTTCGGTGTCTCGGTAATGAAGAATGTATATTGTGAACGAATGCAACAAATAAAATCTTTTATGCAAAAATTACGAAGATTTACCTGATGCGTGCGGATAATGTCGAGCGTCATCTTCCCTAATATTCTTATACTGGGAAGTGACGCTTTCAAATCCATCCGGACTACCTTTCAATTCCAGCGGGTAATCGCTAACGCTGTCATGAAAGCTACAATGTATGTTGCTGAAGTTTGAAGCATCCAATGAATATACAGGACGGAGCGTTTAAGACAGGTCATCTGAATAACTCATTTGTTTTGTATGATAAAACAGGATGTTTGAGGCAGAAGTTGTTTCATTCTATAAAGAATATAGTGTGGGACGTTTTCTTCGCGCCAAGGACATTGATTTATTTCAAGCGGAACGATATAGTTTTATGTTTATTCTCTAATAGGAGTTTGTAGGATGAATACAATGACTTAAAGTTCAAGGTTATTCAGGATCATTTATGTTCCCTATAAAATCAATCAACTTGTGCCACAAACATTCCTTTTTATCCTTAAATATAAACGAGTTAATTGGACGATCTGCCTCAAATGCGCCCATCCTGTATAAATAATTACCTAAAATCTATTTCATTAGTGTATCCGCTATCCATATACGTATCGTCGTATTCTGGAGTCGAATACGGGGTTCGACGCATCATTAGCATTCGAGGCATCCAATTTAAGAATAACTGTCTGACCCAAGGCGACATGTTGTGCGTGGATGGAGATCTGTGAAAGAAATTTTTAATAATCGCCGTGCCCATCTTCTCGGCGGGTGCGAAACATAAATTACCGAAAATGGACGTTCAAAACGCATACGGTGATCCATATCGATAAAGTGACCAAGATCATGGTAAACAACAAGTATTTTCCTAAAAGTGGTATGGCCAACGATGTCGGTGGTATAATCTCGGCCAACAATAAGAAGAACACAGTTAGTGAGAGGAGGATGGAAGAACACAGCGATACCTATGAAGAAATACAGTGTACGGAAATCTGTTTCGTTAATTTACTGTCTTCCTTTTTTCTTGCAACGTTTGCTTACTTTCTCGCCCGAGTCGCTTGGCAAATAAAAAACAAGCACCGTGAGGAACGTGATACCCACGCAAGGGATGATGAGATTCACCGTGTAGAACAGCGTTTTCCTCCGCATCGTGATGTTGAATGTGATGTCTGAGTATCGTACACAATCATATTTTTATATTTTATATTACTAACGAGTTTTACTATTGCTCACCAGAATAGGGTTCCGTGCAACACGGGTAATACTCCTCGTTTCTGGATGCTGGCACTTCGAGGATATCCCATTCTACCGACAAGTAGAAATCGGTCAAGTCGATGCCAATCGCGACCACGTTGCTGCCAGGCTCTTGCTTCATGTGCTTCAAATCCACCTGACGGCAAAAGTCTTTACAAAGCATATTTTCGTAGGACAATGCTAACGCGAATAATTTGTACCCTTGAAACGACCTTGTTCCCGACCTAAGGGGGCAGTTTTCGAACTCGGGCCAAGAAATACCCCCTTAAGGGGACATTTCACTGTGAGCATACCTTTAAGGGGAAAAAACATTCATTCAATTTTATGCAATAGTTCCTGAGAAAAAAATTATTGAAAATATGCTTTTTTTTTGTGCGTTCACAGTGAAATGCCCCCTTAATTGATTCGATAGAGGGGTCGACGGTTAATAGTGGAGTTAAAACCTGAGCGCCGTTGTATGTCCACGAGCCGAACTTCATGATGCAGGATTGCTCGTCGAATGGAAAATATTCCACGTTAATCTCGCAGGACGATTTGTAGATGGCTGGCGGTTTCCAAGATACCTCGCCTGTGTACTTCAACGTGGCTTTTGTCATGAGAGTTACTTCGTAATTGCCGTCAGCGCTGTGTGAACGAATGGTAGGTATGTGGTAAATTAAGAGAAGTAACGACAAAGTATGCGAATAATATGTTCTTAAAGTTTCACCGCTATTTACTTATTGTACATCACGATATCTGGCAGCCAAATATTTTCGGAAGGCACGTAAAGCATTTCCACGCCACCGTATTCCTCTGGATCCCAACGTAGCTTGTAGTCGAACCATTTCTATAAAAGAGAACGTGGAGATAGTAAAAACGCTACATATAATAAATAATAACAATGTATTAGGTTGTCTCAAAAGTTTCTTTCGCTTTATTAATAAGTAATGCATGAACAATATTTTATGTTTTATGTTACATTACTGAATTGTGTACGATTCATTTTGCTCCATTACTGTTACAACATGAATATCTATGATATTAGATTGTCTATTTATATAAACACGAGCACATAAAATAATTGAGTGCAACTCGCCAAAGAAACTTTCGGGACAACCTAATGCAAGGTGCTTATCTACAGATGGGCAGATTTAAAGGGTGATCTCAAACATTGCATACTGTATGATAGGTTTGATGTTAATATGAAGTCTCAAATTTCATTCATTATTCATTATTTTTGTCTTTCTTTTTTGCCTGTAAAATCATCCCTTAAAACCATCCCTAAGTCCACCTGTAGAGAACTCCTTATACTTATCCTTTGAAGGGGAACGCTCGCGAGTAGATTATACCTGTTCTACCCAGACGTTCGTGGTCATCACCTGGTTCTTCAAATTCTGCGGATTTCGAAAACGAAAAAGGAGGAATTAATATCGAGAATATCCTTATCGAAAAGAATCGCGGAATTTTGAAATTTAAATTCACCATTTCGATCAATTGCGAGAGTTTCAAGCCGAGCCAAACCGTTAGGGTTTCGGTATTATTGATGACGGGGCGTATGAGCCTGTTGTAATTAGACAGTAAGTCATCGTACAGTCTCTTGGTGTCTGGGTTCGCCTCGTAAGTTTTATAGCGCGCGGCACCTGCAATAGATACGTACGTTTTCTGTAAAAATTAATCAACTTTTCTGTGAGAAAACCACCGACTCAATTCGCGAAAACGGGACAAAGAAACGATGACATACAGTGCGAGGGAAATGCTGGGCGACAGGAACGATTTTTACAATCATGCGATTACAGATAACGACGGGGCTTACCGTGTGTGATGCTGATACTGTTGAAAAGTATACCGATTATCAGTACTCGCATTTTAAGGGCGACTGTTTACAAATTCGTACAGTGTCGAGATGGTTGCGACCACTCCCAGTAAAAAAAAGACGAACGTTCACCTGCTGACACCATGCACGACGATTTCGTAACTTTCCATCGCCGACCGTTAGAAGTGCTGTTGGAATGTTAAGCGTATTTTTTACTGGAGGAAGGTGGAAAATGTGATTAGCGGAATACGAGCCTTCTGCATCCCACTGGACCAAAATCGATATCCGAAGTTAGCGCCATCGTGCGCGCTATGGTCTACTCCTTGGGCTGGTTCGTTTCTCGAAGAAGCATATACGCATGCGGGGAAACTAGCCGCGCGATTACATTTTCAAAGCTAAGCAGAAAATAGCCTAATCTAAACGATTTATTATCTGAACTGCCGAGGTACATTATTTTCTGCTTATACAGAGTCGATTTAAACGGCTTATTGACAATGTTAGGCAGACGTTAGTACAGATTAGCAAATTAGGGTAATAATCAGGCATGCCGGCAGGCGTTCAGTCTGTATTTTAACATCTTTTGTCTTTAATGTCCCGTAATTGATACTGAAGCATTTTTTTTCTCTCTCCTGCATAAAGATGTGAATTGTCAAACATTCTTGAAATGCATATTAAATGTTTAGCCCTCTGGTGCGTTAACGGGTAGGCGACGCTATAACCATCTCGCGGTGAAACGGCCGAACTAAATTTGACATCATCTTTGCTGTTTAATACAGAATACAGTCGTTAGATGTGCATATGGTTATTTATAAGTCAAAAACGATAAAAAATGATTGTATTATAAATACATTATCAGTATTTATCGTAAAAAAATAAATTATATTAATGTACTGCAATTGTCGGTACAAAGGAGACGGTGGCGCCATCTCGCAGTATGAGTCTGAAACTACTTGAGCTCAACAAGCTTGGGCGTTTTGCCACCGATGGCGCCACAT